TACGCGTTCCACCTCTACTACCTGTAATACTAATGAACACCGATTGTTGTGGCAAGCACACAACACACAACATTTAGAGCAAAATTCAGTCAAGTCCTAAAGAACTTCTACGCACCTAACCATCCACCATCTATACGAGTGAGAAAGTTTTCCCTGTTGATCACATCAGACAACAACATTACTGTACAGTTCATATTTTGGGTTTGTTTTTTAAAGTAACAACAGTTAGAAAAGAAAAAGAGAGCCTTGTTTCATCTGGAACGAGTTAGAAATGCTCTGAGCACCGACATAGCTCTGACAACACAGTAACTAAGTTAGTTCAGGTTAAATCAGCCACAACTTCTATGTCAGGCTGCAGGGCTGAACCCACAAACTTCAGCACTGAACTGGATCATCTGCCAAACACTTTTTATAAACATGTGATCTCAATATTCTTATTATTTGAAAGACTATTTATTACCACTCATAATTTGCTTGGAACTTTGTTGCTCGGTTATTAAGAGTTCAGAAGAGGCTGAAGGCAGGACCTGGTGTTATTTGTTTGTTGGTATCACAAACAGTTCTGGTTTTACAGCTCTCCCAACACTGAAGTTCCAAGAGTTCATGTATACACACACAGCACTGGGATTAGTGGGTTTAATTCCTTGTCATGCATCTGCTGGGACAGTGGAAGGCTTGAGGGTTTTGGCATTAAAAGACTGACCTAATTAAGGTTGATTCACTCTTCCCAGGTATAGAGTAGCCAAGTTTTGAAGCACCACACCCCATCATATCATGAGGGTGGAAGCAGACTGGATCCTTGGAACATCTGCTGACAAGTTTATACCTGAAAAATAATTCATTTGACATAGGATAGCAAGTACTCAGATATCCTTGAGAAAATTCAAATTGAGAAGGATTAGTCAAACTCTGTTTAGATAAATATATATATATTTATGTACTAATATGAAAATTGCTTACGTATGAACTTTCAGATCTTATTTCCATGCCTTGTTCCTTTGGTTACAATCATATCCCCCCCCGCCCCATTTTTGGGTTTCACTTATATTTTTCCCGCTTTATGTAACCATAAGCACTTTGCTTGAAAACACTATATTATTTACTGCATTAATTGTTTAGTTCATTATTTGCCTCCTTCTACTTACATAGGAAAAGTCAGTGCATAATGAACATTTATGCAAAATCTACAATAATAAATTAAGGGTTGTATTACTTTTTCTTTAATATATATTTTAATGGTAAGAAACTGCAATAAAACTTTTCCCCAACATCAGCATATGGCACTTCTTAATATACAAAAAGTAATTCTTTTCATTTCCACAGAAATAACATATATACTTATATATACACACATATATATACTGGGTGATATACGGATTCCATTATAAATAAGAGTATGCATTTTTAAAAGTTAAGCACAGAACTACTTGTTCTTCCTTGAGTATATTTCCAATATGTTTCATTCTATCACACGTTTCTTGACTTCACAGTCTTTCTCTATAATCTGCTATAGTCCATACCAGTCTCACCTGTTTTGATTTTTCCAAGTAACCATATATGGGTATGTTTGTGTGCCACTGGACTATTAAAGTATTTTAATATATTTTTCACTATGCATGCTACCATTCACTTTTTGCAGTTATCAGATAATTATCAACCCCTCTGAGCTTTCACTTTCATCTTAGTTTCCACTGAATTTTGGGTTTAGGATCACAGGTACTAATATAATTCCTCCAGATCAGAGCTCATATAACAAATGTAAATTCTCTTTAAAAAAAACAAAAACAAAAACAGGACTTCATTACCCAGAAACTGGAAAGTTCACAGAACCATTTCAATGGACAATACAACTGGAAAATACCCTTACCCTGAGATTTCTGTAAATGTACTCCATAAAAAAATCTAGAGGCAGAACTAAAGCATGTGACTTTATCCCAGCTTCTGCATCTATAAAATCAGGTAATTATATTTAACTACTTCACAGAATACTCTTAAGCCGTTATTATACATAAAATTTGTGAAGCTTTTAAAACTGTCAAGACATGACAGAACTGGCATCAGAATAGAGGGACTCCATTATTCTCCCAGTTAGAATTAAACACCAGAAGTTCAGAGATTTATACCTTACGAAGGCTCAAAGAGAATACCTTTTAGCTTTTTGTTAAGCTCAATACCTTAGATTCAAAGAGCCTTTTTTACTTAAGGCTTGTTTCCACCCTTTAATCATTCTTGTGACTCTTTGAACATTCATCTATTTTCTTCTTTACTTATGGACACTAGAACTAGAGAAAACAATCCAGCCTTGGTCTTCTCAGTGCTAGACAGAATTTCATCTCTCTTCCCCTTCCCAAATCTTCTATCTTATGTACCCAGAGATCATGTCAGCCCTTCAGCCGCAGATGTTTTACGCAGGGTGGAGTCTACTGCTCTAAAAGAAGTACTATGGCTTTGTCTCTTGATGCATAATATTACATTTGCTGTATTAAAGCAACGATCTTGTTTTGTCCAGTTTGACAAGTATAATCACTCAGCAATTTGCCATTCATTATTATCCTATCAATCTTAGAATCATCTATAAACTTTGTACATGATTATTTTTACAAGGGCACAGATTAAAAAAAAAAAAAGTTAAAGCGTGGAGGACTGGGAACCCACAGGTACACACAGATACTCAGACCTCAAACAACTGTAAACAGAATCATCTTCCTTTGGGCCTAATTCATTACAGTGGGTCCCCCTCATCTTATATCATTATTGTTTCTTCATGAAAATGCCAAGTAGCACCAAGTGATTGACCTTACAGAAGTCTAAATGTGTATTTTCACACTACATCTTCATTAACAGCCCAACATATAAGCACCTCAAAAACACGGCAAGATATAACAAGATCTATTTTTAACAAATTCACGCTGACAAGCATTAGCTCTATCCTGTGATACTCCTCTGCCCATTATTAACCAAGTTCTACACCAGTTATTCCACCAGTTTACCTGGATCAGTATCCAGGCTTATAATTACCTCAGCTACCTGGCCTACAGCGCTGGCGCTCATCAAGGTTTCTACTATCTTCCTGGTATGCCAAGACTTCTGTAAATCAACTGTGAGAGTCCAACATTAACTCCTTTGTCAGCTCTTTTTGGATTAAACTACCTAAGCTGAAAACTGGATTTCCATCTATGTACCCAATGTCCCGAGTTATATGCCTCTGGAGAGGCAACATTTTCATTTCCCGTCATTCTACATTTTAAACAAAACATACCCTTCCTATACCAACCTTCAAGCTGCTCTCAAGTAGGAAAATCAAATACAATCAACAATATCTGCTTCTCCTTCTCACCCAAACATTTCAGTCTATATACGCAGAAGTACCAACAGAAAGTCCTACCAGTGCATGAAAGAAAATAACAGCAACACTAATATTCTTCCCACTGCAGGCTTGGTTTATTCCTTTTATGCATGTGATTGCAACACAGCCAATAAAAATGTTAACTGGGCAAACAGAAGAAGGGGCTGCTTTAATTTGTTTGTAAAACTATGAAAAACTGGAAGTGTTTTTGATCAGGGAATATGTATGCCAAAATTCACATAGAAGACTGTTTAAAATATGTATAAGGAAGTGTAAGAGAGGAATAGGCTGCTACTTTTCAATTTGAGTAACGGGAAGTACCATAAATAACCAGGCAGAAAATTCATCTCCCCTTCTCCGTGATGTTCAGCTTATCCAAGAAATAAAGGTTCAAATGGATCAGCTTTGATATCCAATGTAGCCAATCTTTCGTGCTGGCAAGCATCAACATTTTAAAAATGAGGAAAGAAAAATCTCAGAACAAATATTGATCAATCACCCTTGTCAAGCTGATGCTGAACCAATTATCTACTTGGTCTCCAAAACACGTACGTTGAAATGCTCTGCTTCTAAAGGTTCTCTTGGATATTTATTTTACAGATAATCAATAGTTTTGTTTTATTCGTGAGTAGGTTTAGTTGCTGGGGACTGGGGTAGTGGGTGAGGGAAGAGAGGGGAGAAGGAGGGAGATTTCATGCCTATAAAAGAGCAATTGAAGATCAGACTAAAGCTCCTTTAAAGACTTCCAGTAAGAAACTGTGACCAAGGCTTAAAGCACACTAAAGAAACAGCTTCATCTTGAACTTTGGGAGCAGCTGTGCTCTCATTCCCCTTCCCCCAACACAGGAAACAGACCTAGAAACAAAAATAAGACAGGAATGCTCCTGTGCAAGCTAATGTTGTTGGCTTCTTAAACATCCACTACTCTTGTGCCAAAAAAAATGAAACCTAGGAGGATTTAACACTTCAAAGGATAGTGGGAGACTGCTTTAAACATAGAATTTTCTACCAGAGACAGATATTCTTTCATTTTGTAAACAAGCTGGAAAAATGTTATCATGAGTGCGTGTCAAGACAGATTTCATTTATATTCCTGTACTACTTATGCACAAATACACTCTTGCATATTACACTTTTACCTATTTTAGAGTACAATTAATGCTGTAGCAATGTTATCTCCCATCAGGAAAAAAAAAATGCAGCAGTTGAATTTTCTGATACCTTCCAAAGCATTCTATTACAATATGCAGTTTGAAAGCTTAACACTACAGAGAAATGTTTGACAAAGAAGTTCTCTCCTTATTAAGCAATGATACATAATTATATGTTCAAGGAGAATGTGAATAACATCTTGCCAAAGGAATGTACGGCCACATATGCTACTCACAGTATTCCCAACTACAAATTATAGTTATGCTTTCACTTGTGTTATTAAGAAGTTGGCCTTTGTTCAGTGTATTTCATTTTCTGAACAAAGGTAAAGAGAAGGGAAGGAAAAGTGAGTGCTAGACTAAGTTATCTGTCTAACTTTAAAAAAAAAGAAAACAAAACAGCTTTATCTAATTTTGACGAGTACAAATCTGCTTCACTCACCAAAAACAACTCATGTTTTCAACACTTAATTTAATATTTTGCAGGCTAATGGAAACTTTACATAATGCATTCTCCCTCATAAAGCTAAAATGTCAACGCAGATGGGATTGCAATCTTGATATGGAGAGAAAGGAAATGTTATCTTTTAAAAATCTTCAGCCTAACAAACATGATGTGGAGGATGGGATGAACACTGATATGAAGAAAAAAAGGAGGGGAAAATAATCTTACTTATTTTAGAAGAGTGTCTGTATCTCTTTCTGAGCGCAGCACCCCCAGCCATACCTCTCTCAACAGTGCTTAACGTTTGATTAAAATAGTTTCTCGGTCCCTCCTCATTCTGCTAGTGTCCTCCCTGTGGTAGGACATGAAAAACAGATTGAAAAACAACAGTTGATGTGATCGTTAACAGTTATAGTTATATTTCTCTCTCACTTAAAACCTAGTAAGTATTGTCAGATTAGTCCTCTGTCGTCATGAATTCCAACTCCAGTAGCTTCCTTTTTAAAAAAAAAAAAAAATATATATATTTTAACTTTTTCTTTGTGCACTGAGATTTCATGGCCATGCAGCACTTGTGCCTTCAGCACCTGTTAATAGTTCCTCACAGAAATGGATAGAAAGCAAAAGCAGGTGAAGGGAGTATTTCAAGTTTTAACCATTCCATCCATGGATCACATCCCATCCAACCACACCGCATGGTCACTTAAAACACCATTTCTTCACTGCTATACCTAGAAAGAGGGAAATAACTTGCTGCAGATGTAGCATTTCAAAAAGGGTGTAAAGCAATGTAAATGATTTTTTCATTTTAAGGGATTTCATTCTAAATACAGATAATTAAATCTAAGCATGATGAGAAAACAAAAGCAAGCACTGGTCACACCCTGGATGTGTCAGTCCACTAAAGATCATCATCACAGATGGTGAGCTTAATCCTGGACAACCAATTTTTCTCTTGAGCTCTCTTCCAGTGACCAGTATAATCTCTTGTCTCCAGAATAAAAGTTTGACAAGTGTTTTGCAGGAAGACCTGCAAGCTTTCAGAATGCACTGCTTGTTATACTTGAAATGGAACAAAAACAGCTGCTCAATTGTCCACTATATTGACATTTCACAAACCCTTTTGCCCCGTTCTGCGAAAAGTCATATTTTACGTCGATCACATTTTCTGTAATCACTGCTAAGAATAAGCACCTCATTATTAGAGAAGTGTTTTATAATCCAATATAACACCATTCAAACAACTTGATACTTGCTGGCTTACAGCAAGGGGATAGGGAAATGGACCACAGATTACAACTGAACTAAAAAAAAACACCAAACCAAACCCAAACACGCCAACACCTCTAGCAGAATAGTCCCATCTACATAGGTGGTACTAGGCTATCACACCGGGTTTTACACTGTCATCATTACTGGAGCACAAAGCTTCTTATGCCTGGAAAACAATATCGAGAACAGACTGTAACAAACTCTTTGACTTGACTGCCAAGAGTGGATGTTCCAAAATGCCTGAACTGTCACGTCCCCACACTCAAAGCAGGCTTTCTATCAAGTCCTGATCTAAAGGAACGCCTGGGAACTTTTTTTATTTGATTCTGTGTTTTGCATGGTTATAGGACATATGTTCAGTATCTATGAGATACTAAGCTCTACAGATCGAGTAACAAAATTAACAGGAGTTAAGGAAGGACCAACCTGAATGAGCACCATATCACAATTAATTTCCAGAAATGTATGTACTGATGGAGGTAGGCATTTTATTATATACAAGCTATATTTAGAAATGCTAGCTGGGCCATAATACAAAACAAACAAAAGCGCAAAGAAAATCCACATTTCTATTGCGGGTTAGGGTAAAAACATGGTCTACAAACCAAGAAGACTTTATGTATTACGTATCACACACCAACACGTCAAAGGAATTTATACATGTTTTTGTACATAGCTTAGTAACAAAAAGTCCTCGTGCAAGTGTTACAGAAATTAACTTAATAAGAATTCTTAATTATCATTATAAATTTTCTGATTGCTTGGTAAACAATAAATTTATCTGATCATTCTTCACACGGCAATGGATTATTCTGCAGACATTTAGAACTGTTAAATTTCTGTAATGATATACAACATGACAAATACTGTCCACCATTATATTTCAAAACATCATATTGTAAACAGAAGGCTCTAAACTTACAACTTCTAAAGCTGCTTCATACCTCTAGCATGTGGTATATGCTCATTTTATCCATCTAAAAATATCTCATTTGTAAAAATCTAATCTCTGGAAACACGACTAGATGGGCTTAAAATAGTCAGTTCGCTGACGGATTTATAACTTTATCTGCATTTCACAATTACAGTCAAAAGCATATTTTAAAAAGAGTAAGTTCATAGCCCTTCTGCAAATAGGCGTTTGCAACAGCCTTTGAATTAAGTTCATACCAGACTGTAGCCCACATAACGAATAAATATGTTGTTCTATAAGCAGCTGAACTAAAGGACTCTGCTTTTTTTACACTTTCGTAACCCATGTCTGCTGAAGAGCCTCAAAAAATTCTGCTATAACCCAGACGATGATGCCACATAGTGTCTGGCCAGTCAGTACACACATGATCGACTGCCAAGTTGAGTGCTGCCCCACAGAATGAATTAAGAGCTGTGCTCTTCCTACCTTGAGAGGGAGAGGCATGACTTTGGTCTCCCTCATCTCCTCAACCAATAAATAATACATCTGTGGGAATCCCCTATCTTTGAGCACGTTAACACTTATGTTGAACAGAGCCAGGTGTTCTATTATGGGAGGGATGGGCAGACAGAGACAACGCAAACCACACAAACTTTGTTTCTTAGGAAAACTTCAGTACTGCTTACACAGGTGATGCATACCAACTCAACATCCCCAGGCTCATTAGTACCACTCAAGGAAAGTTTCTGGACTGATCTACCATTTAGTTTTCACCATACAAATTCTGGCTTCTGCTGGCAAGTGCTGAAATCGGGCAGCAGTCACTCTAGCTGTACCCATCAATGTGCCTAGGGCACACAAATCAGTTTCTTTTTCCTGTCAACCTTTCAAACTCTTACATTCTGGCAATCCAAGTTAAGATCCAATGAAATGGCTATACTTGTTAGCTGAGCAAAACACCTAAATAACATTGCACACCACCATAGCCAGTCAGGCCATTTCATGTGGGAAAAGCATGGTGCGTTATATGTGCTTCCTTACTGAGGAGTAAAAAACGGTCATTGTCCTCTAGACTTTATCTTTGGCTATTCAGTTTATACCACTGCTTAAGTGGGTACTGGTTGTGAGGAAACAGTAAATTCAAACCAGTGTGCAAGAAACAAGCTTCAGAGAAGTCACACAAGTATTCCACTCTAAACAGCTTAATTTTAAATAGACAATTGGATTTTTAATTTTAAAGGCCATAATATTGAGATTTTAATCAATGCTTAAACAGGATGAATCCATAAGAAGATGAGTTATTTGAACTGAACACAGTATTGTGTTGGTGACTCTAATATGCCTGTTCCTCGATCTAGCGCAATTTTGAAGTTACAAAAATATACAGTAAATGAAGCTCTGGACGATGATATTTAGCTGTCTTGAAATTTCCTTTATGTTCTGCCAACTTCAATTCTGATTTGGACTAGAATGGTAACTGGTAAACGCCATGCACTTATTAACAGAAAAATAAATATCTTTTTAAAAGTACAATGAACCAGACAAATTTTCATCTCACACCAGAAGAGTTTAGCTTCTAGTCCAATACACTGTCTTTATTCTTTTGTTGCTGATTGCACTAATGGCAGAAAAATATTCTATTATACATCAGGCTTTCAGCTTTAAGTCTTCCATTTAGTGATTGCTGTTTCTTCTCTGTCCCTTTTCCCCCATTTTAAGAGACACCATCAGTGTGAAATCTGCTCAATTTCAAACAAGCGGGGTAGAATAGTTTCACGGGGTGAATCAGTCCCAATACTTATGTTTGCTTTTAGGAATTTGAAAATGTATTTCTTGTTATTTTTACTATTTTTAAAATACCCTCACTATTGGGTAAAACATCCAACAGACTGGATGGGAAAAACAGTGACTTTAGAGGACCACAATGAAACTGACTGTGACAACAGTGTCTCAAATATGAAAAATAAACAAAAAGGGAAGGAAAAAAAAAAAGAGAATTTCTTTTTTATAGTAACCCCAGCTGCCACTTGTCAAAACACTTTAGCTGTTGTACAACTCCAAGTGTAGTTTTAAATACGTACACACATAAAAAGATGAAAAAAGAACATAAAGTATTGTTTTAAAGCTTACATCCCTTTTAGCTTCTAATTAATAGTATTTTTGTTATTTTAGGAGCCTCGTGGGTACTTAAGAGGGCTAAATTGCAATAAAACCAAGGTACATAAATGAAACCTATTAAGGTTGTCTTAGTCAATAAAAACTAATTGCATCAAACAATAGCTGCAGCCGAGGGACAGCAGAGGAGGAGGGCATCTTGTGGAATCCCTAGCACACAGAGAAGGTTACTCCTCCCTGAAGTGTGACACCTCCAAACCCTCCCGCTGCCCTCCCACACCCCAGCCCTCTTCACCCACCAACAGGAAGCCATTTGACAGTAACATTTCAACAGCCATTTGGCTGTGCCACGTAAATTTGGCCTTGCTGCCTCATATTGTTGCTGTTAACCTCCTCCCCGGCTTCCCAAAACACCTCCTGACAGATGCGTTTTGCCACAGTAAACACCCGTGGTAATGTTTTCTTCCTCATGCTCTTCGGGGAGAGGCACAGAGGCTCCATCACCTGTGTTACGCTGCCCCAGAAGATGCTTTATCTGAATCAGAGGAGATTTGCATGCACCAACGCGCATAAGCAGCGAGGAGCCAGCTGTGACACAGAGAGGTGGCCTGCAATGCCCAGCACCTTGTGAACGTGGCTCCAATCCGGGCCAGCCTGCTGGACCCCGCTACGGGCAGGAGACCCCTGAGAGACAGAGCCCAACCCCCTGACATTTTGGAAAATATGGTAAACAATGTATCTTAACAATATGACAAACATCTACATTGTTTCTAAAAATGCGTTGGTAAATGAAGTCTAGTGCCTACCTTAGACAG